AGACGTGACGACGCGCCCGCGCTACTATCTATTGGTGGGTATATAACGGGTCAATATTAACTGCCAAAGGGTACCACTATATAAACTTGATAGAGGACATATTCACGGATACCACGGTATCAATGTATTATGACAGGAACGCAGGAGCGCTTATCAAGGCGCATATAAGTGACGACGCGCCCGCACTACTATCTATTGGTGGGTATATAACGGGTCAATATTAACTGCCAAAGGGTACCACTATAAAAACTTGATAGAGGACATATTCACGGATACCACGGTATCAATGTATTATCTCAGGAACGCAGGAGCGCTTATCAAGGCGCATATAAGTGACGACGCGCCCGCGCTAATATCTATTGGTGGGTATATAACGGGTCAATATTAACTGCCAAAGGGTACCACTATATAAACTTGATAGAGGACATATTCACGGATACCACGGTATCAATGTATTATCTCAGGAGCGCCTAACAAGGCGCATAGACGTGACGACGCGCCCGCGCTACTATCTATTGGTGGGTATATAACGGGTCAATATTAACTGCCAAAGGGTACCACTATATAAACTTGATAGAGGACATATTCACGGATACCACGGTATCAATGTATTATCTCAGGAACGCAGGAGCGCCTATCAAGGCGCATAGACGTGACGACGCGCCCGCACCACTATCTATTGGTGGGTATATAACGGGTCAATATTAACTGCCAAAGGGTACCACTATATAAACTTGATAGAGGTCATATTCACGGATACCACGGTATCAATGTATTATCTCAGGAACGCAGGAGCGCTTATCAAGGCGCATATAAGTGACGACGCGCCCGCGCTACTATCTATTGGTGGGTATATAACGGGTCAATATTAACTGCCAAAGGGTACCACTATATAAACTTGATAGAGGACATATTCACGGATACCACGGTATCAATGTATTATCTCAGGAACGCAGGAGCGCCTATCAAGGCGCTTAGACGTGACGACGCGCCCGCGCTACTATCTATTGGTGGGTATATAACGGGTCAATATTAACTGCCAAAGGGTACCACTATATAAACTTGATAGAGGACATATTCACGGATACCACGGTATCAATGTATTATCTCAGGAACGCAGGAGCGCCTATCAAGGCGCATAGACGTGACGACGCGCCCGCGGTACTATCTATTGGTGGGTATATAAAGGGTCAATATTAACTGCCAAAGGGTACCACTATATAAACTTGATAGAGGACATATTCACGGATACCACGGTATCAATGTATTATCTCAGGAACGCAGGAGCGCTTATCAAGGCGCATATAAGTGACGACGCACCCGCGCTACTATCTATTGGTGGGTATATAACGGGTCAATATTAACTGCCAAAGGGTACCACTATATAAACTTGATAGAGGACATATTCACGGATACCACGGTATCAATGTATTATCTCAGGAGCGCCTAACAAGGCGCATAGACGTGACGACGCGCCCGCGCTACTATCTATTGGTGGGTATATAACGGGTCAATATTAACTGCCAAAGGGTACCACTATATAAACTTGATAGAGGTTATATTCACGGATACCACGGTATCAATGTATTATCTCAGGAACGCAGGAGCGCTTATCAAGGCGCATATAAGTGACGACGCGCCTGCGCTACTATCTATTGGTGGGTATATAACGGGTCAATATTAACTGCCAAAGGGTACCACTATAAAAACTTGATAGAGGACATATTCACGGATACCACGGTATCAATGTATTATCTCAGGAACGCAGGAGCGCCTATCAAGGCGCATAGACGTGACGACGCGCCCGCGGTACTATCTATTGGTGGGTATATAAAGGGTCAATATTAACTGCCAAAGGGTACCACTATATAAACTTGATAGAGGACATATTCACGGATACCACGGTATCAATGTATTATCTCAGGAACGCAGGAGCGCCTATCAAGGCGCATATAAGTGACGACGCGCCCGCGCTAATATCTATTGTTGGGTATATAACGGGTCAATATTAACTGCCAAAGGGTACCACTATATAAACTTGATAGAGGACATATTCAAGGATACCACGGTATCAATGTATTATCTCAGGAACGCAGGAGCGCCTGACGACGCGCCCGCGCTACTATCTATTGGTGGGTATATAACCGGTCAATATTAACTGCCAAAGGGTACCACTATATAAACTTGATAGAGGTTATATTCACGGATACCACGGTATCAATGTATTATCTCAGGAACGCAGGAGCGCTTATCAAGGCGCATATAAGTGACGACGCGCCCGCGCTACTATCTATTGGTGGGTATATAACGGGTCAATATTAACTGCCAAAGGGTACCACTATAAAAACTTGATAGAGGACATATTCACGGATACCACGGTATCAATGTATTATCTTAGGAACGCAGGAGCGCTTATCAAGGCGCATATAAGTGACGATGCGCCCGCGCTACTATCTATTGGTGGGTATATAACGGGTCAATATTAACTGCCAAAGGGTACCACTATATAAACTTGATAGAGGACATATTCACGGATACCACGGTATCAATGTATTATCTCAGGAACGCAGGAGCGCTTATCAAGGCGCATATAAGTGACGACGCGCCCGCGCTACTATCTATTGGTGGGTATATAACGGGTCAATATTAACTGCCAAAGGGTACCACTATATAAACTTGATAGAGGACATATTCACGGATACCACGGTATCAATGTATTATCTCAGGAACGCAGGAGCGCCTATCAAGGCGCTTAGACGTGACGACGCGCCCGCGCTACTATCTATTGGTGGGTATATAACGGGTCAATATTAACTGCCAAAGGGTACCACTATATAAACTTGATAGAGGACATATTCACGGATACCACGGTATCAATGTATTATCTCAGGAACGCAGGAGCGCCTATCAAGGCGCATATAAGTGACGACGCGCCCGCGCTAATATCTATTGTTGGGTATATAACGGGTCAATATTAACTGCCAAAGGGCACCACTATATAAACTTGATAGAGGACATATTCACGGATACCACGGTTTCAATGTATTATCTCAGGAACGCAGGAGCGCCTGACGACGCGCCCGCGCTACTATCTATTGGTGGGTATATAACCGGTCAATATTAACTGCCAAAGGGTACAACTATATAAACTTGATAGAGGACATATTCACGTATACCACGGTATCAATGTATTATCTCAGGAACGTCAGAGCGTCTATCAAGGTGCATATAAGTGACGACGCGCCCGCGCTACTATCTATTGGTGGGTATATAACCGGTCAATATTAACTGCCAAAGGGTACCACTATATAAACTTGATAGAGGACATATTCACGGATACCACGGTATCAATGTATTATCTCAGGAACGCAGGAGCGCCTATCAAGGCGCATATAAGTGACGAGGCGCCCGCGCTAATATCTATTGGTGGGTATATAACGGGTCAATATTAACTGCCAAAGGGCACCACTATATAAACTTGATAGAGGTCATGTTCACGGTTATCACGGTATCAATGTAGTATCTCAGGAACGAAATCAGCGTCTTCCAGGTCCAGGGGGCTGAAAAGTGACGAAGCTCTCCCGCGAAATGTATTGACGGTGATATAACGGGTCAATAAAAATGCGAAGAGTCAATTACACCAACCGCGGTGTAATTCGGTCCAATAGTATGGTCAGGCTCGCTATCTATTAATATAGCGGTGTGCAAAGGTTTGCAAAAATTTTTTTGTATATAAGATAATAATCAAAGTACATCATGTGATATAGTAACTCGCACCTATATACACGGTTACTGTAAACAAAGAACGTAAAATAAATACCGTATACTGGTTTAGCCTGTATTTATCTGTAGACTATGTTAAGCTAAGGTAAAACAAATTGTGGCACTGTTCTGTGAGTTGAGCAGTAGATTAGTTTATAGTGTGGCACACTATCGGTTCGGTGGAGCGCTGAGTATGACATTGGTTAAAACAGAAATGGTTTAGGCTGTACAGACAATTTTACAAGTACTTTTTTGCTATGAAATTAACCGTTTGCTAAACTTAGTTTTCTTATATCACCATAAACTGACACAAGTATTTGTTATCAATTACGAGTTCTTTAATATTACCTTGACAAGAATCCTTTAGTTCTCCTTTGTGTAAATATTAAAACCATAAAAAAAACTCACGATTAGTAAAGAAACGAGTAATTTACAACACAAAAACAAGATAAGTGATAGGTGAAAGCTGACAACGACAACTGAACTGAGAATGCTGAGAGGGGACATAGAAGAAGTCGAAATTCCAAAAAAATGGTTCTTTAGCACACAAGAACAGGTTTTGGTTGTTTGGAAGCATGCGTTGGGTAGGGTTGGAGGGGCAAATCTTTTGTCATAATATGTCACTGCTCACTTTGTTTAGACTCACAAAAAGAAACTAGTGTTTGGCTATCGATTTAGTGTTATCGATGATATATATATCGACCTGTTATTGATACAGGACAAAAAAACTAGACATTACATAAATAAGGTTAACAATTCATTCTCGTACTAATTACTAGATTGAACATTAACTTAATGAACTGATGCTAAATTAATGTTTATATTAAATTATATTATGTAAGTTAATTACATCGCCTCAACTCCAGTAGCTCAACTCAGTCAAACATTGAATTAACCTATAAATAAAACGTAGTGACGCGAAATGAGTACAATAGATTCCAGGCGGCGCGCGCTCTACTGGTGGCCTTGACTGGTGAGTACACTCGGCCGCTCGCACGCACAGGCGCGGGCACTATTTATTGGTGAGTTATTGGCAGATTCACATCAATGCAGTGGCCGGCAGCTCATCGGCATTTTACCGGCATGTGCAGGGTCTCATTCCCGCCTGTGGTTCACTATTGGAAAATCGGTGTGTGTGCAACGCACCTCAGAGAGGCCCTTTTATTCACAAAGAATTAATCTAACACAAACAAAGTTAATTAACACAAAAACAAACAACAAAGGTAGTGGTTACTCACCTGGGCAGAAAACGCATCATGACGTCTCCATCTCCAGTACAAGCTGCCCCGCCTACAGCCCCGTCTGCGTAGCCTCCAGCCCCTACAAGTGGAGCATCTCCCACCCTCCTACAAACATGCACAGGTTAGTCAACATAACAAATAATGGTTAATACGTACCTCATCCAGCAATCCTAGTAAAGAGTATAATTTTCTTTTAAGGTAAAATAGTTTTAACTTTTCCTATCACCAGTATTTTAAAACCTTACGTTTCGGGTGTTAAGGAAACTCCTTGTGTTTTCGAGTGACTATGTATCCTTACATTAGGCTAACTAATTAACCTAACTGGCCTTATGTTATTTACACATTAATAACACAAAATATACGATACAGTACGTAAATTGTGGTATTGAAGCAATTAACTAAAACTTATCACAACTATACTTATCAGTCCAAAGCATACAAACTAGCCTGCACTACTTGCACAGTTTGGTTATTATTATTACCAGTTGAGAAGGTAATGCCTTTTTCGGGTGGAATGGTAATATCACCATTTCATTTCATTTTATTTTTTTGTTTCTTTCGCTGAAATGAACTTTAAAAACAAAAACACATGTAGTATAACTTGCTACTCATGTTTTGGCGGTTGAAACTCCACCAACGTCAGGCTGTAAAGTATCCACTTTATGTGTCAGAAAAAGCATAAAACATATTTATTGTTACACTCACCCGGGTATTTTATGATTGGCTCCGTTGCTACTAGTCCCCACGGCTACCTGACCCAGCCGGTCCATGGCTATCATAGAGATTGTGTCGTGGCCGGGCTGTTTGGTTTCACCGTTTGTCCCGTCGCTGCCTCTGCGAGGTTTGTACGGCCCACACTGCTGCTTGGGATCAGGAGCCACATTCTGCAAACAAACAAAGCACTACTAGACATTGTAATACAATCCCGAACCGTTATGATTTACAACAATCAGATCCAGTGAATGAAAAAGTAAAAAAGGTTAACAATTACATAAAAGAGCTTGGAGCTAGGATAAAATCAACATAGATTTGGATCAATTAAAACGACATCATACAAATCAAGGGCTACATCTAAATGGAAGAGGAAAAGTTTAAACTTTAAGGTTAATATTGGAAGCTATTAAAACTGTATTTTCAGATGATTTTAACAGCAAAAAAATCAGTGTGAATGGAGACATGAAACATGTTATCAAAAAGGTTTCAGTTTGAGGCATCTGTGGCTTTTTCTCACTGTGTCTCAGGAGATTTTGGGCATCACAAACATATGAGTGCAGGATTTGCAACTGCATTTGCAGAACACTTTGGGAAACCAAAGGTGTTTAACTGTTTAACTGAAAACTTGACCCTTCAAACCTACAAAAACAGCAGCTCAGTTTATGGACTGTTTACAAAAAATAATTATTTTGATAAGCCAACAACAGAAAGGTATGAAGATGCTTTTGAAAAACTAATTCAGGACTTTAAATCGAGACCTAGGCCTAAGAAAAAATCCACTTAACAGCTGTACAAGACAGATGAGACGAGACTTCCACAAATAGGCACAGGCCTGCCATCCAAGGTCCCCAGGGCAGCCGAACCCCAATTTGAAGCCACTGATCTCCAACCAGCAGCAGATCCTGTTCCGCAGGGAGGACCGCTGCGGCAAGAGTTGCCGTTAGAAGCGCCAAGGGTCAGGGTCTATTCGCCTGAGCCGTCAGTGGACGTGATTTCCAAATTTAGCTAATCATGCTAATGGCATACCCAAGAACAAGAAAGGAGCATTTGCAAGACATGTGTTATTTCTAGACCTCACGACTCAAGAGGTTTCCAGGGTAATAAATAACAAGTAGAGCTTTGTCTCGAGTGAATGATGAAGGTCAAACTATCATTGAACAAAATATAACCAAAGTAAAGTCTATTCTTTCAACAGTGATTTTCTATGGTACCCACGACTTGCCATTAAGAGGGAAAACACAAGATGGCGCCGTTTTCTCCACTTCATGGAGGAATTCAACGATAAAGTTTTACGATCGAACACCTCAAAACTGAACCAAAATACCCCCGCCGCAGCAAACCTGCAGACTAAGCGAATTTCCATTAACCTGATTGGATTTACACTAAAATGCCTCCATAAAAATAGCACATTTATTTCCTATTTAAATAGAATTAGTTTAACGAGTACTTAGGTTTGCTGCAACAGGGAGGGTAAAAAAGATGTTTTATAAAATAATAATAGTTTAGTAAGAAATAAAAGTATTTTCCAAAATCAATCAAAATATGTTCATAAACAAGCAAACTACAACAGTTGACTTATTCTCCATAAGAATAACATGGGAATTTTAAAATTACAATTTTTTTGAATTTTCTCCATAACAATTAGGCGCATAATAACGCTTCAATATACTAAATTATTTGTTTTTTTTAAGCTCTACAAAATGGTTTAAAAAGAAATTGTGAAATTTTGTGTTTTAGGGTCAAAAATGGGAAAAACCTATTTTTACCCCATAAAACCCCCCATAAACCCCCGTTCCCATAGTCCGATCATGCTGGTTCGCGAACTCATTCAAGTTTATCCCGCCTTACACCTTCAAACCAAATTTTATCAAAATCGGACAAAAATTACTCAAGTTATCGTGCGGATGGACACATATATATATATCTATATATAGATATATAAAAATTTGAACGAATGGTGTTTTTGGCCTCTGGGGACATCAAAATGAAAAAGTAAATCGGTCCCGGGCTTAGGTCTTACCATGAGACCTACGGTAATAGCTACTTCCCTATAGGGAAATTCGCTAAAATGCTAAATACATTTCTCATAGTATTAAAAATTACCTTATTGATACTGGTGCCACATCATTGAGAAGTGATCTAATGAGAAAAATAAAAGATAACGAGTTCTTTTCAATTTCATCAGATGAAACCATGGACATAGGTGGTACAGTACAGCTATCTCTAGGTGTGAGATACTACGACAGTGAAAAGTTTTCAATAAAGAGTTCCTTAGTTTTACATCGCTAAAAAATGGGATCGATGCTGAAATAATAGTAAATGCTGAACCGTAACCGACGATTTGACAGACTGGAAATTAAATCTAGAACTAGCTGTAGGAAAAGGCTATGATGGATGTAGTACGATGGCTGGAGAAATAAGCGCTGTACATGAAAGAATTAGTAACACATTCCCTATGTAGTAACATTTGTTGTAAAACTAGTGGCTTATAGGGGCAATAGCCCCTAAAAAATATATTATATTCTAGTAATTATTTTGTACAAATTATTAGTCTTATGGGTTACTCTACCTTGGTTATTGTTTAACATTTTTGTATATTATATGTAGGGGCCTAGTTATTACATACATAACCTGCATAATGGATTTTTATGTCTGCTCTGTTAAAAATAAAAATTCCAAAGGACTGTTCATGTGGTGTGTTTATAATATAAACTATCATAATATAGCTAAGGAACATTTTCAATAATAATCTTCATGACTAATAATTAAATGTAAATAAATTTCTTCTAAATTCGCTTTGATAAAACACATAGAGATAATTTGTTTCAAATAAATGCCAATTATTGTGAAAATTTAATCCTTGGAAACTTAAACGGCATATTAGGATCCGTAGATATTAGTTATTACTACTTTACACTTTTTTCAGACATAGCTAACACAACCAATCGTACTCCATAAACTAATTCAGACCCTAGGTTCATATTTCTTATGAGCATCACTACTGAACCAGCTTTTAAAACTAATTTGTGTGGTGGCATTCAAGATAGTGTAATTTAATTCATATAGTCATATGCTATGTTCAACCTCTCTGTAGGGTTAGTATACGTACTACGGTACATATTACATACATACCATATGCTTTGAAATAAAGTTAAACCACATGTTTTAAAGTAAAAGTACCTGGGGACCGAGCTTTGCTCGGGGAAAATCATTAGTTCACTCTGAAAGCACCTTAGTATTGGAGATGCATAAATCCATTCCCAAACTCCACACGGCTCGCCTTCACCACCATTTCCTACGTCATGGACCTGTTTCCCTCCATTCCCATTGCATTTAAAGATTACAAATACCTTAATCTAATCGTCATAAACAGTTCCCACACTCCGGACTACTCGCCTTGACTACTTCCTTCACCACTTCCTACGTCGCGGACCTGTTTCCCTCCCTTCCCATAACATTTTAGGATTGCCCATACCCTTATCTAATCGTCATAAACAGTTCCCACACCCAGGACAGCTCGCCTTGACTACTTCCTTCACCACTTCCTATGTCGCGGACCTGTTTTCCTTCCTTTCCATAGCATTTTAAGATTGCGGACACCTTAATCTAATCGTCATAAAAAGTTCCCACACTACGGACTACTCGCCTTGACTACTTCCTTCACCACTTCCTACGTCGCGGACCTGTTTTCCTTCCTTCCCATAGCATTTTAGGATTGCAGATACCCTAATCTTATCGTCATAAACATTCCCCACACTCCGGACTGATCGCCTTCACTACTTCCTTCATCACTTCCTACGTCACGGCCCTGTTTCCCTCTATTCCCATAGCATTTTATGATTGCCTTTGTTACTTCCTTCACCACTTCCTACGTCGCGGATCTGTTTCCCTCCCATCCCATAGCATTTTAGGATTGCCCATACCCTTATCTAATCGTCATAAACAGTTCCCACACTCCGGACAGCTCGCCTTGACTACTTCCTTCACCACTTCCTACGTCGCGGACCTGTTTCCCTCCCTTCCCATAGCATTTTAGGATTGCCCATATCCTTATCTAATCGTCATAAACAGTTCCCACACTCCGGACAGCTCGCCTTGACTACTTCCTTCATCACTTCCTACGTCACGGACCTGTTTCCCTCTATTCCCATAGCATTTTATGATTGCCTTTATTACTTCCTTCACCACTTCCTATGTCGCGGACCTGTTTCCTTCCCTTCCCATAGCATTTTAGGATTGCAGATACCTTAATCTAATCTAATCGTCATAAACAGATCCCAGACTTCGCACTGCTGCCCTTGACTACAATCATAGATAAAACCATAGACTATAAAACATACTCCCTACAATGTATCGAGTAATCTTCAGTATAATCTTTGCTAAATATTATGCTAATTATTAAGTGATGTTTTCCTTTTGTACTGTATTTGTAATTTGCTAGTATACTGTGGGTAGTTGGCTTACTATGAACACATGCTACAACTTCAAGTCTTTTATTTACTTTATCCTTGTTATTTAATTCATCCAACATGGTTACCTAACAACCCATAAGACTAATGTAAAAAAATGTGATTTTCAGTTTCATTTTTCTACGTAATTAGATTTTTGTTGGCAGTTCTAACTGCATGAAACTCGTTTTTAGGCCAAAAATAAACTATTTACAAGATTTGAAGAAAATCGTCGGAGCCGTTTTCGAGATCTTTCTGCAAGCAAGCAAGCAAGCAAGCATACAAGCAAACATTGCTCGTATTAGAGTATAGGATAAGCAGACATGACCTAGATTCCCATGTTATTTAAATGTGAATTATTTTATTCCGTAACAGCCTTTTGGTGCATAATTAAGAAAAATGAATAGTTTTCCCTCAAAATTCACGTCAAGCGTCAAGACCTTTAAAATAAGACCCCTCCCATCCTTCTACGGCCATCCAGTCACTTACAATTTCTTTACGAAAATTTGACTTGCGGAATTATATATATATTGATGATTAGTGTAGTTAGCTATATCGTATTCATTAAGTGACTATGCTATAATTTTAGCTGTCAAATTCAAATTCAAATTTTTTATTTACTCATCACATCTTATAGGCCTAATGCACAAGGTACAAAAGATTGGAGTGTCGTCAGAATATAAACTAAAACTAAAACCAAACTAAAAATAATAAAGTTAACATAAGTAAAATGTCTCATAAATAACTAGAAAAGACCTTATCATTCTTCATTCAGCGTATCATTTTACAAAGTATCCTTAAAAACTCTTCTACAGTGTAGTATGGTTTTTGTAAGAGAAGTTTAAGTATATATGTAAGGGCTAAGTTCTTGGAATTGTTTTTTTGTAAAATGCTGTACAATTTATTATAAACTTTGACTACCATGTATTTTGGAGAGTTTTCATAGAATGAAAGCCTATGCCGAGGAAATTTCAATTTGTTCTGATGTCGTGTTGGATAGGTATGGTTGAATTTACAGTCATCAAAAATTGTAATTTCATTAAACATTAGTTTAACAATTTCAACTATGTCAAGATTTGTAAGTGTTAAGATACCAATATCTTTAAATAAAGATCCGCAGCTTTTACTTCTTTTAACTCGAGCCATAGTCCTCACTATTGATTATTAATGTCTGTCTTATGACATTTTCAATAATTCGTAAAAATTCAAAAGGCAATAAATATATTTCATTTCATTTATGGCTAACTTTTATCATTGTGCCAGCCACTGGCTAAATTTAGGTATTAGCGATGTCAGTGATATAGGCTACCACAAATTAGAAACACTGTAGGTACTATAAAAGAAGTGACTACGTTTTTAGGAAGGATTCCAGAAGAAGAAGCGTTGTTGGGACTTAGCAAAACCTTTGTGAAACTAGGTGGACAGAAAAGTACAAGTCGATTTGAAAATTTCATGACAATTTTATTGACATAGTCAATGGCCTTATAACCCTTTCAAAGAGGGAAACAAACAAAACAAAAAGCCTTTCAACTGGACTATACTGCAGATGTTTTAGGTCTTTCTACTCTATGACTAGGCCTCGTACCGATACCAAGCACAGCCACCACTCTAATGTACTGTCGAAGAGTGTAGAGGACTACTACAGAAAATCACATTTTGTACCATATTTGGATTACCTTATCCGAGCCCTGAGTGACCGAATCTTCGAAAAGAACCCGACTTCATATGAATTGTTTAATCTCCACCCCTTGAAAATTAAGTTTAAGGTGTTAAAAATATTTTGTATTCTAGTTTTAAAATATGGAATGACTGTTTCCTTAATTACTTTCTTTGCGTATTCAAGTTTTAGTGGGAAGTGCAGCGCCGACTGACTGATGATAAAGTACTGTGATCAGTGACGTAGCCAGGATTTCAAAATAGGGGGGGGGGGGGGTCGACCGACCGGGGGGTCTGGGGGTTATTCCATACCCCTTAGGTAAAAGGGGGGCCCGGGAGAATTAAACCCCCCCCCCTAAAACGGTTTTTAGCTCTTTTGGCATTGAAAATAATCAACCCCAACGCCAATACAGTTTGGTTATATAATGTTATATTTAATTTAAAAAAATATATATTTATTATATTTTTACTGCTGTGATTGCTAAGACAAAGTTTCCCGATTGATAGTGTGTTGCTGACTTATTCCTTATGCATTAGTACACTGTCTTTATATTTAAATTTACGTATTATCTTTGATCTTCCAAAATAGTATCATAAAATGTTTATGATCTTGCAAAAATAGAGACAGAGAATTTAGCTTTAACAAGAAAGGTTTACGTAAAAAAATCCCTCCTCTAAGCAGGGGGTTATTCCATACCTACTGACCCCCTGGTCAACCCATGTCGCTCCCCCCTGAAAAAATTACTAGTTACGCCCTTGGTGTACATTCATACTTCAAATCCTCAGAAGAGTAGGAAGCTTTTTATATTTCAAAACCAAACCCAGCTGTCCTTTATTATTGTGTTTGTATAAATGATGCTAGCTAAAAACTCCCCAAAACGGTGTATAAGCATGTTAATTTTTTAAGAGGAGGAACAAATATTAGATTGCCACCTCAAAGTATTTGTGACCCACTACACCCTCAATGAAGTTATAATAATATAGAATAATATCATACAAGACCAAGCAGTAATGGACAGTTTTTAAACAATAGAAAATATTTTCTAAAAATATGAGAAACCAGAACACTAATCTAATCTGTAGATTACATTATTTACTAATTTACTTAAGATAGTAAACTTGCCATCCAGCATTTTTCCTATACGGTACTTTGATTTACAATAGTCACTTTAAATAATAATGTTTGTTATAACCTAACTAAAAATATCATTACTGCAATTTTAATTTTTCTCTCTAGTGGTCCCTCGAATTTGGCATGGTCATTGAGTAAAGTAACAACGCAGATTTAGTCTCTTTGACACATTTTACATCTTCAATTTGTGAGTTTACTAACTGTTTCATCACTACATACCTTTCACCTTACAACATTATTTTTGTATTCAGATATTCATATTCACACTAATATTCAGTTTTAATTTACCCACCTAAATAATGTCGCTGTCACAAAAGTATTTTGTAATAATTATGGTCAAAGCCTTTGGGGATTAAAAGATTTGAAGATTTTGTGAACACTTGTAAATATAATCCTGTAACACAAGATAGTAAACATACACTCAACTCTCAAGTCCCGTAATCTATTTAACTTCCTATCAGCTTAATGGTGACACCAGCTGTGTAGCAATATTCGCATTGGGGTATTATGAGTAACAGTTACAAAACACTTTCTTTCTTGTAAGAAGTGTACTTGATTTCTTACATTTTGGCCGTTCCGACCATTGCTGTGGTCATTGACAGAAATGAGGAAATCTACTGTATGAAAATATTTTCTGGCAAATAAAAAATTCTGAGTTCCAAATTGTTATCTGAACAGTAACTGAGTACCACGATGGCAACATATATGGGTTCTACCAGCACATTTTTGTTTGTATAAACGCAGATAGGTAATTTCTTCTTCCTACACACAAACTTCTTCTCTGCAAAAAATACTTGAACTATATCAACGACTAATAAAATTCTACTTACGGTCCAATAGTTTGGTTGACAGTTGCTTCCGACCCAATTCCGCCAAGTAGCTTCTGACTGGTTCGTCGACAAAGATTCTGACTTGAAGCCCATGTTGATGGCGAACTGAGTGGCCAACTCTCCGACAAGAATGGAGTGTTTGGTGTTCTCCAGGACTCTCCGTGCCACAGAGATGGCGGATTTTACACCTCGTAACGCTCCGACAGCACCGACGTTCATCGTCATCCTATATGAGAAACAGTTGTTGAGTAAAGGTCTAGTATAACAGTAATTGGTTTGACTTTTGTAATCGTGGAGAGAAGTTATTAATTATTTAAGGAACTGCAGACCTTTTTCATTGCAATTCGTAAAATAGAAAGTTTAGGATATGGAATCTGATTCAGTTTGAACGCGAGCAAGTAAAAAAAAATTAAAAAGGATTGGTACACGTAAAGACGCCAAACCTGGAAAATAACTAAAATAAAAACACACAAAACTGTATACAGTCAACTCTTGGTTATCTAAGTCTCGGTTAACCGAGCCAGTCATTAAAAAATAACAAACATAAATAAAGGTCTTAATAGCGAGACAACTACGGGGAGCCGCGATGTTTAATTGTTTAAGAAGCGCGGTCAAGCCGTGGACGTCTCTACTGGCTGCTACTTGGTCCAGCAGTCAACCTGTAACGCCAAAATACTCAGATGATCAATTAATGCTAAGAACTACAGTAGCGCCTGAGATTTTTACTGGCTGTTGCTAGGTCAAGCTTCTATGAATTATCTTCTATTGAAACCTGCGTATTTTCATATCTACCTGACAGATTAAGTTGGCTCTGAACTCGCGCTGGACTTGGTTGGTGTTAGTCGTACTCGTGCTAATCGTGGTTGTGTAGGTGTGTTTATTTTTGCCATTTTAATTGATTGTTTATCGTTTGTTGTTGATTTTTATTGTTGCTATGAGTGGAAAGAGAGTATTAGTTTCTCTTGAAACAAAATTTAATGCTATTAAACATTTGGACAATGGCAAGTCAATTAATAAGGTGGCTGCTGATTTGGGGGTTAGGAAAGTCACTATTGGCAACTGGAGACGAAAACATGAAGAAATAAAAAAAATATGTTAACAAAAGTGTGAGTGGAGGCAGAGTTTCTTAGTCGAAAGACTTTGAAGAAGGGTAACTACAAGCAGACGTTTGAAGCCCTTTTTTTGTGGTTTTCCCAGCTTCGAGGGATGGGCAGTCCTGTGAGTGGGCCAATGCTACAGACTAAGGCGATTGAATACCATAAGAACTTAAAAAGACGGAGAGGAAACATTTACAGCGAGTGAAAACTGGACTGATGGAAGAAGAGGTATGGAATAAGGCAGCTTTTAGTCCTCGCCACCCTAAGTTGAGACAGCCAAAGGCGCACGGCGTATATCTAGTGCGGCCTTGGGCTGCCTCAACTTAGCGTGGCGAGGACTATAATATTAGTGGGGAGAAATTATCAGCAGACTCATCTGAAATGGCGGAATTTCAAAATAAAATTGAAGAAATTATTTTCAAGGAAGGATTAATTTCTGATCAAATTTGTAACTTGGACGAAACAGGCATTAATTTTCTAATGCTGTCTTCAAAGACCTTGACAGCAAAATCCACCAGTTGACCCAGAAACTACTGACACAACAGACAATAGAACAACAGGAGAGTACCAGCCTATCCCAGGCAGTTCAACCTCAATTTTGCTCAATCCCCTGGAGGTGTATAAAGTGGCACCTGAAGTTGGTACGACCCTTTCCGAAAGCCAGCGAAAGGACAACAAGAGTAACAAAGAGGAAGATCGTCAAATCTGAGGTTTTGACAGATACCCCAGTGAAGAACCTTATATTGGAGACACTGGAAAGGGGAAAAAATAAAAAAAATAAGTCACTAAAACAACAGCCTAAACCACAAAATCCTGAAAATGTAAAAAAAGTAGGAGTATTCGTAAAAAACTCTATCAGGAAATACCGGTAACTAGCTCTGAAGAAGAGGAATGGAAAGAGTCTTCTGAAAGCGATCTCGGAGTGGAGTTTTTGGAAGAAGAATCTGAGGCAGGTAGGGATGACAGTAGCCTAAGTCCAAAACCAAACATTGGAGACTTTCTACTTGTTCAAGTTTGCGGTAAGAAGAAAGGCAACGTCAACCACTTTGTAGCTAAGGTGATGGAAGTTGAAGATGTTGGCTATGAAGTTAAGTATATGAAAAGACTTTCCCCTTCATATAACTTTGTTTTTGAAAGTGAAGATTTGTATTTCGTTCTTTCAACTGACATAGTGAAGAAACTGCCTACTCCTACTGTTCACGGACGGAAAGAACCCTGCAAAAGCTTTCTTTCCAATTGTATCCCTCTAAGTATAATGTCCATTAGTCCCATGTACATATTTAAGAAGTTTATATTTTATTAAACACTCTGTAAGAAATTATTTCAGTTTTTTTATGACCCATTGTACCACAGACCCCGACCCACTGTACCCCAGACCCAGAACCACTGTACTCCGGGCCAGGGCACAGTAGGTCAGCATGCAAGGGTTTTTATTTATTATTATGAAGCCTTTTATTCTAGAAATATGATCACAAGAACAATTATTTAAGTAGGGGCCAACCTGAGAAGTGATATCGTAGATATATGTATTTTCCAAACCAAAAAAATTCAACATTATTTTAACAAAAAAATTCAACATTATTTTACATAAAGTTATTGGTAAAAAGTGATCCGTTGTGCCTCAGTCTCCCCTACCTATTATTTTTTCTCTTTTTGAAAAAAAAAATAAAGATCAATTAAACAACTTTAAATTTAAAGAAGTTAAGCCTTTTAGAGTAAATCTCTACAAATTCATCAATTTTAGGCTTGGCAGTGTTGGGATGAAAAAAACCTTAGCAGTTTTGGCTTAGGCCTAACATGTAAAAAATGTTTCAGTATCTAAAGGGTTAATCAGAGTGTGATTAAATAATTGGCAACTTAGAAATGACATTCACACAGATTATGGTCCAACTCACCCGTCCATGATAAAAGCGTCGAGAGTAGTTTCCCCGTTCTCGTCAGGACTTCCTCCGTAGCCAACAGTGAAATCGCATTGCTCCTGTTCGCAAACTGTGCACCCGATCTCAACTGCATCCAGAGCAGAGAGATTGCGGTTGTACAAAGCATCCCATGCTGTATCAACATAATGGATGCAGATTAGTACATGCAGTTTTTTTGCCTTTTAGATGCAATATATACAAAAAGAAAAAAATAATTATATTTTATTTTATTTTGGCTTACAATTTAATTTTAAAATGAAAGTTTGTGGATTCTTTGTAAACCCATACTCCAAATCATGATTAATACTGTTAGGAATCAGAAACAAAAAAATTGTTGATATATGAAAATATTTTTTAAAGGCTTGAGAGCTTTTCCTGTAACTCGTTACAATTGTTTTAAAATACCCCCTCCCCCTCCAAGGGGGGGGGTAATGAAAGAACAAAACTTAATTTTGAACGTCTATGCATTTGTCAAAACTACCCATTTAGAGGTATTGATATTTTCTTAAGGACAGACTGATTTTATATTTTAATTATAATGTAGGTGTAGTTTAATTACTCAAAATGTGTGATTTCTCCTAACTTATAACATAGTATAATTGTTTACTTACTTGCTTTCTTTTTATTGCATTTGTGTACCCATCAATACTGTTATTAAAATTATTTTAAACGTCTATGAAGGTGTCTCAACTGCCCATTAAAGGGTTCTGGATGAAATATTTGGTAATTGAGTTACATTTACAGTGGTTTTTAATATGTTGGCTTGCATACTTGGGAATACCGAATAGCAATATTCGTTAGTTTTTAAACTAGGCTAACTATCTAGTAAGTTAACTTCTATCTATTTCTATCTACCTATTCTATCTATTTATTCTGACTGTCATTATATTTATTTAGTATTAATCTTATAACTCTATGCATGTTTTTTTTCTATCTATTTAACTGTACAGCTATTTATTTATTGTAGCGTCTGTGATATGCAAGCCTTTCTATTTTGTATGCTAAAATGTGACTGTGATAATGTATCGCTATTGTTTTATATATGTGTCTCTGACGAGGTCTATTGTAATCAATGATTATTTAATGACTAATAAAGTACTTGATTACTTACTTGATTACTTGATTATCAGTTACTTTTTACGGGACTAACTAATAACTTCTAACTAGTTCAAATTTTTGACTAACTTTCCCCAACTATGTTGACTTGCATTAATGGCAAAAATTATCATTGTCAGGTGGAAAACAACATTGACCGGAATTAGGGTTACGGTAGGCCTATAGGGTTAATTTGAGGAGTCCAAGAAAATAAACCAAAACAATGTTATTTATTTAGATAACTTATCTGTTTACTTTTTATATAATTTATACAAGTAAACATAGGAGAATAAAACAAATATAAATATAAGCATAAAAATTAAATAATTCATGCAAAAACTGATTAAAACCTAACCTTACCTTCTCCAACCGGAATTTGGGTGGTTTACCTTACGTTACTGGTTAGTTATGCTTCCCCTGATAAATTATCATCTAATTCAACTCAATTGTAAGGACCATTCACTAAGCAAATGGAACAATCTACAAGACAAACACTTTGATAAGTAACTTTAAAACCGGACGACAAACATTTCACAATCGTACACAACTAAATTAAATCATTGTCTGAGTGGGCTGTGAGGCCTAAATTAACTTTAAAGCTGGCTCCCAAAAACTACAACTTTAAAATAGACCCTAGGCCCTACTTAGCCTAATGTTATTAGGTCTAAGTTAACTTACCTGCAGCAGTTGCGTTAGTAAAAGGCCAGGTGTTGATGGCAAAAGGTATTCGGGGTTGGTTGTTATGAAAATCATCAATTTTAGAAAAATATGAGGTGGATTCTCCTAAAATTATGGATAATAATACTGTAATGAAAACTGAACCCAAAGTGACAAGAGATATAAAGTAACAACAGCTGTAGCAATTACATGAGTTTCTCATGTTGAAATCTAAAATAGGCTAGGCTGAAGTATAACAAATAATATCAGGCGAACCTTGCAATGAAAACTAAGAATATAAATCTACCATAAGAATTGGCCTAATTGTAGGAAGATCGATTGATTTTGATTGGCATTAGACACGGACATTTAAAAAAACGAACCCACGAAAGAACACAAACAGTTAAGAAGAAAAGAAGAAGTCATAATATTAAGGTAAAATGTTCACTGCACTTATTACAAATGTACGATTAATCGATAAGACAATTAATTTACTTCTAAGATATAACGTTTTGGTTATGTTGAGATTGAGTTTGACACAACTGCACTCAGCACTGACCACTGTTGATTGTTTATTTTTACTTGGATTTTGTTCCCATAAACATAAAACAGCTGATTGAACCTTCTGCTGTTCTGCAGACAACTTCTTCTTCTGTTTCTATTTATTTTCTTCTTCTTTTCTAGTTTGCTTATAAAAAGCTGGCCTGATTAACCTAGCATGTAGCTACACTACATTATGTCATATCACGGTGTCATGCCATTGTGCATAATCTCACAGTGCCTAATTAAAAATTGTCTCACAGTGTCTAAAAGTGAAAACTTGTCATAGTACATAAAATCTTATAGTAAAACTGTCTTAGAGTGCATAGAAGCGATTTTGTTGCATAGCGCATGGGTCCCATGGTGAAACCCTAGATAAAAAATACACCTTTATTAGATTTCTCATCCTTTTAAAACAGCTGAAGCCAATTTTATTGTCAGTTCTGTCCGGTGCACTGAAGAGGTAGTGTTTTATTAATAATTTGTTTCTTGTTATTTCAGTAATTTTAAACCTCGTTTAACTAAACGAAACGAGCTAATGATATACGGGAACACGCCAACGTCAACCAGCCCACGTCAACCCGCCACCAAAAAGAAGAAGTTTGAGGTGGCGTGTTGACGTGGTGGCTCGTTGTCAGAGTGGTGCATCATAGTCGTGTTTATACACGTCAACCAGCCACCTCTTTAGTGTGGTGGCGGGTTGACGGCAGCGACCATGGGGCGTACACGACACAACATGCCACCTTCGTTGGCAAAAGCCGCGGCTGTTGTCCATGCATTATAAAATGCATCACTTTTTGCAGTTTACCTGGACATGTGTTATCTAGTTTACTGTTAAGTGGCGAGCAGCCTAGTGTGACCCGTGCTTTAGGTTTACATTGATATAAGTCGCAATTTGGAAACGACCACTGATCGAATATAGGTACAGTCATAGATAAATCATACTTTTATAGGTACAGTATTTAACAGATTTGATTTACGTAGCAAAATAAGGTTATAACAAATAACATTTTATCTTAAACAATTTGTAGGTGAATCACATTCATGGATCAATCTCATCAATGGCAAACTTAAACAGGTCCATGACATAGGAAGTGGCGAAGGAAGTGTAGTAAACGCGAGAAGTGCAGATTTTGGGGAACGTTTGTGGCAGTTACATTGTTACATTAATGTATCTGCAATACTAAAATGTTATGGGAAGGGAGGGAAACAGGCCCAAAAAAGACGTAGGAAGTAGTGAAGGAAAAAATAGTAAAGGCGAAAGATCCAGAGTGTGGTAACCGTCTGTGGCAGTTAGATTAATGTATCTGCAATACTGTAATGTTATGGGATGGAAGGGAAACAGGTCCATGACATAGGAAGTGGTGAAGGATGTAGTAAAGGTGCGGAGTTTGGGAAAACGTTTGTGGCAGTTACATATCTGCAATACTAAAATATTATGGGAAGGGAGGAAAACAGGTCCAAGACGTAGGAAGTAGTGAAGGAAGTAATAAAGGCGAACAATATGGAGTGTGGTAACCGTCTGAGGCAGTTAGATTAATGTATCTGCAATACTATGGGAAGGAAGGGAAACGGGTTCACACCTTAGGGAGCAATGAAAGAAGTAGTACAGGCCAGCAGTGCGGTTTGTGGGAACCGTCTGTGGCAGTTAGATTAATTTATCTGCAATCTTAAAATGCTCTAGGAAGGGAGGGAAAAAGTTCCACGATGAAAGAAGTGGTGAAGGAAGTAGTAAAGGCTAAAGGTGCTGAGTGTGGGAATCTTTTGTGGCAGTTAGATTAATGTATCTGTATCGGCAATCCAATAACAGGTTACTCATTCTTCTACAATCGTCATCTTCGCAGGAATTTTTTTTATTTGATCATCATTGTCCATTTTTATGCATGACTTTGAAGTGAACTCTTTTTAGTTATAATAAACACAATAATTGCCAAATTGTGATAACAATACTCCATTTCATGCTTCAGGTAAGTTGCTGGCAATTTCGGTGAAGGAGACGAATTACTTCACTCAGTTGAGTCGAGGGAGAGACTGCGCTAGAGGAAAAAAGAACAAGTGGCTGCTGCAGGATGCGGACATTGCAAAAATTCAAGAAAAAATCAACAACCATATAATATCAATGGCAGAGTTTTTATCCGCTGCGACTCACAAAATATTAACTCTTGTGGAATCGTACCAGCCGACGCTGACGATGAGATAGAGATGCAGAATTTACTACCAGGTAATATTTCCACCACGTCTTAAAATTTTCTGTCACTAAAATCACCCGTTCGATTTATAGAATTTGTACTGGGCTGAGTTATTTCTAAAAATTAAAGGAGGGGAGTGGCAATGACCGCTGGAACGGGGTAGCGCACACTTGCAACAATAGGACAACAGTTTGACAACAGTGGATTAGGCCTGACCGAGTATACCTGGACCATTTCTCTCTTTACGTGGCCGGGACAAAGTTTTGAAACTCTACCTTTGATTCTTTTTGACATTAAATAGTCCTGGGATTTTTTCCACCCTGTATTTTAGACAGTGTTTTCCATTATTATTATTTTTACACTGGCTGATGCTTTAACTACCCGTGCTTCACAACGCGGAAAAGACAAAAAAATAATGCGGCACTCTGTTGTTGAACGGTTTAACTTTTTTAAATTGTTGAACATCATAGATCCTAACTTATTAATTTGGTGTAATGGTGTCTTTGGTTGTTTTTAAATACCTGTTACCTAAATTGTTAATGTAAATTCAAATGATGCATCTGTTCAAATGTAAAGAAATCTTTTCTCCATATTAAGGATAACATGGTAACTTTAAAAACTACTGGGGCAGAGCCCTGACAGAATTTTCAACATTTTATTTCACACAAAAACTAACTACATTATTTTGTTTGATTTATATTCAGTCATGGAGCTCAAGCCTCAAATCACAGTGACGGTCCCTGAAGCCCTTCCCACCTCGCTGTACAACGACTATCAGTGGAATCCGGTCCAGCTGTCGAGCTCATGTCATCAGCTGTGTGCTGAGGAGTTCATGTCCTTGGAGGACATAAGAAAACAACGTGAAGGCCTCATGCGATGTTTACGGCAGGATCCTGATGAAACTGTGGAATCGGCAGAAGAATTGCCAATTTGTATGGATTCTCGGGCAACCCGCCTCTGCGGTCAATGCGGACATTTTGTCCTTTGTGGCCGTTGTGTAAACGACTTTATTCAAAGAGAGGTATACCATTGTGTTACAGTTGGTAATGGTGAAGTAGAGGAAACCCCAATCCGCTTGCCGACGACTTGCCGGCTTGCCCGCTATGTCGGGCAATAGTTCACGGGTGCCCCTAGCAAAATAATCAAAAGTCAAAAAAGAGTTACGCTTTCATGCATACTCAACTTCCTACTGGACTATGAGTATCTGACTTGTTTAAGAGCACTTCAAGCGGTACCTCTTCTGCAACGTTAACATCATCGAATTTACTTAAAATATTGATTTTTTTGTGCAAACACAATCACGGTCAATAAATTGATATAAATAAATAGAATTAATTCAGCCATAAATTTTATTTATTGAATAACATATTAAGTAGATTTTGCTCATAAAAGTAGGACAACAATCTGAGCCTCAACTAGAACTTGTGTCCGTTAATTTACAAACCGAAGAATATTAATTTACAAAAACATTATTGTATGATGGTACATTAAAACTGAAGTAGACTCAAGATTTATACATATCGTGATAAGAAAATTAAGATACTTTACTATACTTTCTAAGCAACATCTTCCTCATTATGTAGTTTGCAAAACATTAAGAATAAGCAACCCATTTCTTTGACACAACCTATTAATTTTAAGATATAAAGAAAAAGAAGAAAAAGCGTACGTAACGAAAATCATTAAAGGCCATACAATAGACCTAAATCCGCTGTGATATTGGACACGAGCCCATTTTCTAAAGCGACCCTGTGTCAGAGAAATCTCTGCAATCGTTAGGTTGGTCGTCAGATGACTGTTGTCGGAGTTGTTGGCTGTTGGATTAGTTTCCGTCAGAACTCTACTGGATGAGAGTAGCGTCTGAAGAGCTTGTCGATCTGATCGTATACCAGCGTTGGCGCGTCTCGTCCCCACAAGAAGTCCAGATGGTTCCACCCCTTAAAGTTGACCAGGTACATTCCTACAGGTTGGGCCAGACCTTTGAACAACTCTTGTACGTCCTGCAACACCCAGAGACGAATTAGACAATGATCACGGAGCACTTGTTAAAACTCTCAAAATTTCTAAAATAAATTTGGCGATGAATGTCGGCATCGGATATGTTTCTTGTAATCAAAAACTTTGACTGACTTCCCTCGGACGTGGTGAGAGATTTGATTGTTTGGTTCTATAAAAAAATTTAAAAAACACATGGAAGAATACATAACAGCAGCTACAGAGCAGGGATTTGTGTAATTCTGTTAACAAATTAATTGATGCCAGTATAAATGGTTATGAGCCTAGTTGAAGCGTACAAGCGAATTACGGATTTATACATGAAACCCTTACAAAAAAAACCGCCCTCGTTTCCAATAGGAAGCAATATGTCATATTCCACGGGTATTCTACTGAATTTATTGTTTCATCTGGTGTTCCGCAAAGTTCTAATTTAAGCCTCCCAATTTTCAAACTGTTATCAATGACATTGTGGGAAGTATACATCATTGTTAAGTAGTTCTCTATGCAGATAATTTGAAATATATACAAAACTGGTGGTATAAGTGTTGCTACTACTTGTGTTATTTTAGGATAAATAAATTAACAGCAAAATAGTAATATTTATTTTTATATAACTACGTTATTATTCTATCTTGGATAGTTATGGGTAAAAATAATTTAACCATGTCCATACTCACAAGCAGGTTGGCAAGGAGATCGTTGTCCCCGCAATGCAGAGATATTGGTACAGTAACTAGCGACAGATTGTACTGTGGTGGATCGGTGGTGTTGTACTTCACAAGGTTTTTGGAACTACCATAGTCGAATTGTTGGAATTTCCCTGTAAACAATTTCTTTGTTTAAATTTCAATTTATGCTTCAGGTCACAGCTAAATCATAAACATCTACCGTGGTCATGGAAAAATTGTGTAGTAACAAAGAAACTACCATTTTCAAAAATTATACAATTATCATTATGTTTTGGGACAAAATCATCAATTTCCAATCGTGTAATTTTGCAGACGCTTTCTGCGATTGTGAAAATGCAAGCTTGGCTCGGTAGAACATAAGCGAGGTCAATAAGTGGCAAGTGGCCACTCCTGACCCATCAACATCACCTGCATTTGTATAGGGAAGTCCTCATTATGAAAATACCCCTCCCCTTTGACTTCTCCTTCTCTGTGTAAGATTCATTCTTCTGGGTCAACAGGGGTTTTTTTGATTGTGTGGACCATCAACTTTTAATCTATAAACTAAGAATAATTGGTGTAAGAGAAAAGGTCTTCTCTCAAATTACTTACAAAACAGGAAACGGCGCACAGTAGTTTACATACATATGTCCAGATGGGATAGTGTTCCATTATGGTGTACCTCCTGGTTCTATTTCAGGGCCATTGTTATTTCTAATTTTTATTAATGACCTAGATCTACATATAACAACCAGTAGTTTATTTTAGTATGCTGATGATACCAATTTCATGGTAAAAAAATATAATTTTCACCAATTTAGTGAAATTTGTGCAGTTTTTTTTCTACACTTGCCCACACTCGCAACACCTATTATTCCACTGTACTGGCTCTGTGTAATTAGTGTCCTTGTAAGTCATTATATTAAATTAATTAAATTAAATTCATTCAAACCCCACCAGGGGGCAACTTTTTGTGTTTTCACACCTTTATGGTATATTAAATTATATTCCATATGGGCGTGAGTAAATTTGCATTCAAAGAGATCAATAATATTAAAGAGTGTTGATTACTTTTTTCTTTACAAATATTTTTTTTAACTATGAATATACTAAAAAATGGTTTAACCCCTAAACTGGTGGGTGAAAAGTTCAGATGGTAGCCAAATGTGGGGCTCAACGAAACAATCTTTAGAAGTAATAAAGAACATTGTTCTTTGTCATATCCAAACTGTTGAAAGTAATTCTAGTACTTACCAGACTTTATTTCTTGAGCATAGTGGACGAGGGTTTTGGTAGAGGTTCCAGCTGGATTGTGCCCCAAAATAAGCGGCAGAAGTTTCTTTAACATAATAAAACATTTTTGAGGACACAATATCTAGAAAATATATACGAGGCTTTTGTAAATGGCCACTTAGACATTCTAACTATTCTTCTACTGTAGGCTACTCATTTTACTCAAGAGGCAATAAATGAAAATACATATTTATACTGAATTTTGAGCAGATCTTGAACAAATTAATTAGTGGTGTTGCTTACAGGCTATATTGGTTAAATGCTTGAAAAGTTTAGCTCGAAGAACTTAGGGAAGGGCGCCAGGGCGGGGTAAATACACACATGTGGTTTATATTACAATGATATTACATTTGTGCGGCACCACAGAAGAAGGTGCGTATTTTTAAGGTTGAAGATGAGTGAAGGATGAATGTTGAATCGATCAACTGGTTAATTTGTTACACAGATCATTTGTTTCTTCAGCCAGGACCATTGATCATAAACCTAGTGATCAAGGACAGATGGGTAAAATTTCAACTGCACGCATGCAGTTTATCGGCTACAGAGTGACGTCACAGAGTAAGGAAGTAAAGCTGCAACCTATCGGCGAACATTACAACTATACTCCATTCCACGTTTACCATTCATTATGGAGCTCCAGGAACCATAAGATATATGGCAGCTTCAACGACACTAGTTTACCTTGGTAATAGCTGTCTGTCAGGGATCAACAAATTTTGTTGACAGGTGTTGCACTCTACGTAATAACCGTGGTCCAAGTGTGAATAGAGATGATTGGTGTCTTGCGGAGGAAGGGAGTAAATTTGTTTTTAATTCAAATCCAAATAGGTAAACCATTAAAAATATTGTTGGATGAAATTTCGGGTCCAAAGAAGACCAAACCAGTTATCTTAAAGGCTTATAATGGAGTTTCCTTCCCGACCAACTAAAACATCGAACCTTTGACACAGTTCTGCATGTAGTTTGCAGGCAAGGTATAAGTTCAATGAATGGAAAGCAGCATGAATGGTATGAGTTCCTTCAGTGGAAAGCATATTAAAAAGAGATAAAATGATCCATCTACAATAAAAAATGTGTGTTTTTCCAATTTACTTTTTTTTTACCGTGTCCTAATTGATATTTATTAATTTAACCAGGTGGTAGGCCTATATAATGGGCATTATATACGAGACTGGTAATGCTATATTATATTTCAATATAAAAACATATTTCTCCTTTTACAATGCAATAGAGTTTGTCAAGTATGGTTGTTATACAATCATATACTACAGTGTGGCCGAAAAGTCCCTTTACACAATTTGTTATTACGTTTTACACTGTTATAAACGGAACGACGGCCAAAACTGACTTGTGTGGGGTAAGGGCGCAGTGGAGGAAGAAAGTGAAACCCCTCCCCCGCCTCCGCCCCGCCACGCGGGCTCAGCCCAAGGACGCCGACGCCCCCTCAGTCTCAGTCCAAATCTGAGTCAGACAACATGGCGGACACCAGTGTGTTTAGTGTCGAGGAGCGTTTGGTCGCTTCTTTGTGGGTGCATGAGTGTCCTCACAACAGAAATACAATGGAGGAAATCATGAATGAATTTGCAGTGCGGTTTGGGAAACCTTCACCGTCCCGGCAAACATTAATATTATTCATTCTGATAGCCCCTGGACTACGAATAATGACTTATATCGGCTTACCTCCGTCAGTAGTCCAAAATTGTGTCTTATTTCAACTAACGTTGTTCAAAGCTTACATGTTTCGTTGCACTGCAACATCGTCGGAGCTTTTTGTCAAAAACATCAAATAATTTAAACATAGAACAAAACACGGAACACGAAACATTTAAACACGAAATAACACGATAGCGCTATCATGACATGGCACGGCAGCGGTTGTAGGTAGACTGGACACGGTAAGTAACTTCCTCTCGTCCTTCTTACATTAATAGCGTGGGATAAGAAGACGTTTGCAACGGGATCCGTTCTCGACGCGCCAAGAAGTCGACGACCGATTACTTGAGTCGAAACCTGCGCTGCTGTGGAAGCTTCCGTTGCACGTTCGCCAATGAAATCCACCAGAAAACGGTCTTCAGAGCTGGGAATTCCACGAACAACAATGCAAGACCACATGCGAAAGGATCTGGATATGAAGTGCTTTCGGCCCCTGTCAGTCAACGAGTTAACAGACAACGACATGGACCTTCGTGTGTAAGCGTGCCAGGTTATGCTTCGACGCTTTCCGAGGCACAGAGACAGGAAAAACGTCATGTTTAGTGACAAATGTGCGATTTACCGCAGTTCTTGCAACCGGAATGTTTATTTCTGGTCGAAAGAAAATCCTCACCTTTATGAGGAAGTTGAAAATAACCCGCCTCATGTGATGCTTTGGGCTGCGATAACTTCAGACCACCTGCTTGGCCCCTATTTTTTCGAGGGCACTGTTAACCAAGACAGCTATCTTCGAATGATAAATGAATGGTTGGTTCCTGAACTAAGAGCACGGAGAATATTGGACACAGTTATTTTGCAGCAGGATGGTTGCAGCACTTTGCGCTGAGTGTTCGCCGCTGCCTGAATGAACTCCTGCCAGACCGATGGATTGGACGAGGGTCTGCGAACTGTCCTTCCCCAATGCCCTGGCCTCCAAGGAGCCCCGACCTGACGACAGCTGACAACGCACTGTGGGGTTTTATCAAGGAAGAGGTGAGGAAACAGCGGTATGTCACAAATGACGAGCTAAGAGAAGGAGAAAGGGCGGCGTTTGGACGAGTCACACCTGAGATGCTGCGACAAATGAGCAAAAGAACATGGCATCGAATCAAGCTGTGCCGAGACCACGGAGGTATGCACACCGACGTTTTGACTAATTTTCTTGTTCACTATTAATTAGTTGTCAATAAATTTGTGATTAAAGAAAATTTGAATGGTTTTACTTAATACCTATAAAACTTATGTTCAGTGTAAAGGGACTTTTCGGCCACCCTGTATATAGTAATTGTATAATCAGTATGTTCTTTTCCCAACTAACTTACCTTCTCAAACTGAGCAGGATCATGTCCGCATATGACGAAAAGCCAGTTCTCACATATCTTCTCTTCAAACTCGAACATTTCACAAGCAGCTTTGAGAATGTCGTCAACAAATTGATTCCTCGGTAGAAATTGCCCGTGGCCAAAGTAATCGTAGATTATCTAAAAAAGATATACAACGTAGAAAAATGCAAAGTATGCATTGTACTGAAATTCAGGTCCTATAACATTTATTATGTAAATATCTCATACTTGCGAAAAGATCGTAAGGTTACCAGTAACTAGTTCAATAAGAATATTTAAGAGAATCATCTACCCCAATTTCTTGGTTGTTGAAATTCAAGGATCTTATTGGCTGAAATTTTGACAAGACATGATTTCTTTCTCAACCGTGAAATAGGGAACTAGTTTCTCAAGAAATTTACCTCAAAGCTATGAGCGAATCTTGAGAGATATCTTATCGGACTTGTAGTATGAAGCATGTAGGCAACAGGGGCCATGGCCGCCATGTACTTTACTTTTCCGTTGTATTCAGGCCGCTTGGAACAGAGAACGAAGAACATGGTTGTTCCCATAGAATGACCAACATAGTAGATTTGTCTGTGACCGGTCACATTCAGAATGTGGTCTATCACAGCTGGCAAGTCGTAGGTGCCCATCTCGTGCCATCTGTACAACAAAAATTAACGTTATAAGGTACATATTTTAGAGGGAAGAGCGCGCTTCCGCCTTCCTGTCGGATCATGGCCGATAACCCCAATTTCCTTCATAGACGTTGAGAAGAACAGGAGTGAAGCAATTGTGTGACATCAGCAAGATCCTGGATCAAGACTCCTACGATACAGAATGGTCTGGAACTGGAGGGGCAGACGAAGCTACGTTTAGCCTAGGAAGATCAACCCCTCTGAGGTTACTGACTGATTCTGTGATACCAAAGTCCACAAATCTAATGTTGTTTTACAGCATTGAAGGAGGTCCAGTCACCATAGCTCTACACCATTTTCCGATAACGCTGAATAAAATATAGGTGTCTAAATAATGGTACTACTACTACAAACAATAAAAATCAATACATAATAATGTTAAATGAACTTACGTCCAGTCCCAGAACCTGGTGTTATCAGGATGTAGGGTTTGGTGTTTCCTTGAGTAGATGTTACCTCTAGCGTTACCCATCCAGACGTCATATCCCTGGTCTGCCAAAACATACCCTGCAAAACCGAAACTTTACTTTACATGTGATTACTAAATCAAACTTATTCATACAATCGGTTCTATAAAATCTTCCGTAAGAGTACTGTGAGAACTACATAGATCGTTGCGTAGTAGATCTAAAAGTAGGATTTGTTTTATTTTTAGCCGTCGGTTAGTGACCAAACACAACAATTCACAATTTATTTCCAAACAACTTTGTAGAGCTTAAAAAAACAAATAACTTGTTGCAGCTAATCTAAGTACTAATTCTAATTAAATAGATAATAAATGTGATATTCGCTTAGTCTGCAGGTTTATTGCAATGGGGGTATTTTTATTTATTTCCGTTAAAAATGGGCATATTGTGTTTCAGTATCTGTTAACAGCAAAAACACAACCAAAAAAATAACTTAAAAAGAATAAGAAATATGTTTGAACAAAGGGGAATTAAAAATTAAATTCCTGACTTTGCTACCAAACTGAATAATTGCTGGTTCAATAGATATTTGTTAATATAATAGTAGAAAGCAAGTTTATTGATCTGTCTAAACAGTGAGTTACTACTGGAAAAATAATAAATTCATTTGAGTTAAGAAAATATTATAATAATACAAAATTAAATTAACCCTTTACAATAAAAATATTAAAATCAAAACTATTCTCTTGCTGAGATATTTAAGTCCAAATTGAAATAGACAGAGAGGAATGATGTGTAGAGATGTACTCACGACCTCGAAGAGAAGAAATTATCGAATGTTCATTAATAGCAAGGAATGGAGATTAACACTTCTTGAGAAAATAAAATATAACACTGTGTGCATCCAAACTTCTGGTGAATGTTCCTCACGGTTAAATAAAACTTCTGTAGAAACAATAGAGTCAATAATTGATGATTTAATATGGGATACTGAGACCCATGGTAAAATAATTAGAGGGATTCAGAGACCCTCATAATGGTTGATTCACATGAAGACTGCATAGTAACTGAGTGAGTTGGAGCAGTGTACAGGAAAAGCCACTGGTCAGTCTATATCATGTCGGCTGGAACTGATAAGCAGGATACGCAGCACATTCCTCTGCATTGTCTGCCTATCTCTCTCTCTCTCTCTCTCTCTCTCTCTCTCTCTCTCTCTCTGTCTGGCTTAATTTAATACAATTTTATTTTATGAACTCACTTAAAATATTATTCTGAATTGAACCAAAAAGTGCAGTGATTTATTTACACACAAAACATTTAAATATCTATTATTTAAATGACAAAACAAGTATTATTTTATGTATTAAACCCATTAAATCAGAATTGATCATGATAGAATAATCTAGGTAAAAGTATTTTATTAGTATCAATCAACTCCAAGTAAACAAAAACAATTAACACATGATAATAAACTAAAATGACAATAGTCAGTAGAGCCAACCATTACATCTCCCTCTTTAAAGGTTGAGTTTCTGGGGAGGTTTTATAAGTCGTCTTGATCGGGTTGTTATGTTAGCAGAAGACATTCCAGAGGTGTTTGGAGGAACCGTTGAAAAGTTTGGCATGTCTTCATGATGATCCATCGGACCTCTTGTTAATGGTTGACTGTTACGGTTATCTGTTGAAAAGTTTGTTAAGCACATACCGTTGTCTTCCTCAGATCGATGATCCTTCTGACTACTTGTTGATGGTTGATGGTTGTGGCAATGATCCTTCTGACTATTTGTTGATGCTTGATGGTTGTGGTAACTTTCCTTTTGAATGTTTGGCATTGGTTGTAAGTGAAACCGGTTTCTTCGAACTATGGTTCCTTTGTCCGTCAGTACTTTATAAGATCGTGGTGAGTTTAACTTTTCTACGACTTTTCCTTCACGTTTCAAATCAGATATCCAAACTTTGGTTCCTGGGTTCATATCTGATAAGGGTCGAGCACCATGTCGTCGATCGTAATTTCGTTTGTAATTTTGTCTATAATGATTCTCCTTCTCTCGGAGATGACTGAAGTCTGGCTTGTTCTCCAGATGACATGGTAAGGTAGGCAAATTGTCCCGTAGTCTGCGTCCGTATAATAACTGTGCTGGACTGTAACCGTTGGCCAGTGGAGAGTTCCTGTAAGACAACAAAGCTAAATATGGATCTCCTTTGTTCTTCTTTAGAACAGCTTTTGCAATTTTTACAGCTGCTTCGGCTGAGCCATTGCTCTGATGAAACTGAGGACTGCTTGTTTTGCATAAAAAGTTGTACTCTTTGGCAAATTTTCTGAATTCTGCACTAGTGATGCCAAACTGCGTTCCACTATCTGAGTATAAAACTTCAGGAATACCGTGGCGAGAAAACGTTGACTTGCATTTCTCAATAACTTCAGATGCAGTGAGCGATTGTAGAGTTGCAATCTCAAAATATCTCGAGAACTGATCTGTTATAACAATGAACCATTTGCCATTAAGCTTGAACAAATCCATTGCTGCCTTTTCCCATGGACGTTTTGGAAACTCGGAAGGAATGAGCGGCTCATTTCGATTTTCTCTGTGTTTAATGCATGTTGGGCATGAAGCTACCATCATATTTATATCTGATGCCATTCCTGGCCACCATAAACTGAATCTAGCCTTTTCTCGACATTTGGTGGCTCCTAGATGACCGACGTGTATTCTATGAAGCATTTCTTGACAAAGACTTGATGGTACTATTATTCTAGAATTGCGTAAAAGTAAGTTGTCCATCAGTGATAGCCTATCTCATCTTTAACCGAGAAGTAGGGGACTAGTTGAGATGGAAGTTGTGATTTTTCTGGCCATCCAGTATGACAGTATACTGCAATCTTTCTGAAGATGGGATCTGCTTGCTGAGCTTCCCGTAACCTGTTTATGTTTTCATCAGTCGTAGGTATGTTTTCAACCACATTTTGAACAAAAGCTTCAATTTCTTCTTCCATGTCATATGTTTCCTTGCTTGGAATGGGGCATCTTGAAAGACAGTCTGCTGGTGCAAGGTGTTTTCCAGGCGTATATGTCACTGAATATGAGTATCTCATCATGCGAAGCCTCATTCGCTGTAAGCGAGGTGTAATGTCATCCAAATTCTTAGATGATAAGATTTTTACAAGTGGCTTGTGATCCGTTTCAATTACAATCTCTCGACCAATTATATAGTCTCTGAGCTTGTCACAAGCCCATGTGATTGCCAGGGCTTCACGTTCAATATTTGAATATGATTTTTCAGCTTCTGTAAGTGACCTTGAAATGTAAGAAACAGGTCTGAATTTACCATCATGATGTTTCTGAAGAAGCAATCCGCCGAGACCATAAGAAGAAGCGTCTGCTGACACAAGAGTTGGTAAGCGAGGGTCGTAAAATGCTAGTTGGGGTGCTGAGGTCAGAAGTTTTTTTATACTTTCAAACGCATGCTGTTGTTGTTCTCCCCAAAACCATCAGATCATGGAAATAGGATGAGTTTGTCGAAACACATTCTTATTAAGCATAGTAAGGTCCACACATATTCGAACCTGAGTTCTATCTTTCTTAGGCACCACGACCATAGGTGCGCACCAAGAAGTAGCGTGATCAACGGGTGTTATAACGTCCATATTCACCATATTTTCAATCTCCTTCTTTGTTTTTTCCCAAAGAGGTACTGGAATCCGTCGAGGAACTGATATCGCATAAGGTTTTGCATCATTTTTAAGTTCAATTTCGTAGCTCCCCTTCATTTTTCCTAGACCACTGAAAAGGTCAGGAAAGTTTTTGATCCAATCATTAGCAGATTTGTTGAAATTAGTTTTCGATACCTCACGAATAACCGGTATTATTTTTAGTTTTTCTATTGCTGGTTTGCCAAGTAGTGGTGTTGTGCATTTGTCAGCCACATACATTTTTTCCATACACGATTGTCCTTTGTAAGAGAGTTTTGCAGTGATTGTGCCAAGAACAGAAAGAGGCGATCCTCCAGCCGCACTTAAAGTTCTCTGGGTAGGCTGGACTGCAATTTTTTTGCTTAGCTTTATGTTGGATGGTATTACTGTCACGTCAGCTCCTGTGTCGATTTTGAACTTGACAGTGTCTTCATTAAGTCTTACATTTATTGTCCAGGGATCATTTTTTGTTTTACTAGAATACACACACCCAATGAATTTTTTCGATGGGTCTGGTTCATTAGCGATTTGGGTAAAGTCATCTGAACGATCCAAGTCTATTTCTCGAACATTGTTTTGAAGACAACAGTGTGAAAAGTGGCCATTTCGCTTGCACCTAGAACATTTGCGATCTTTTGCTGGACACAGACCTCTTCGATGAGAAGGGGTTGAACCACACCAAATACAAGAGTTGGGATAGCTCTTGACATTTGAGCTTGAATACGTTAATCTCCCTTGATCCCTATTTTCTCTTTTGGATGAATGTATTGCATTATCATATCTAGCACGTTGATTTTTATTTACAGCTTCGATTGATGGGAGGGTCAATTCTTCTTTTTGTCGTTTCAATTCTTCTGATTTGCGAAGTGAAGTTATTGCAGATTCCAATGTAACTTTATTTTCTAATTGTAGTTTATCACTCAAATCTTGATCACGCATACCAATAATAATGACCATTAATAACATTTCATCTTCAAGCGTTCCCCATTCACAGGTACGAGCAAGAGAATATAAATCTGTCACAAAATCTTCTGCAGTTTCTGTTAGTCCTTGTTTTCTACGTAGAAATTTGGCTCTTTCATAAATAATATTCTTCTTTGGATTGAAGTGCCCATCAAATTTGTCCATGACTGTTTTATACTTTGTTTCTTCGTTGGTCATTTTGAAGGATGAGAATATTTCTTCTGATTTTGGGCCCATTGCATATATGAGTGTACTCACTTGTTTTTCTTCAGATGATTAATCCAAATCACTAATTGTTCTAAATCTTTCGAAACGTTTTTTCCATGGTGACCATTCCGCTGGTTGGAAGGAAAAAGGTTCAGGCATTCTTACTTGTGTATGAGCCATGATAAACTTTTTTGATAATGGTAGATACCACAAAAGTTGTTGATATGTTTGTATAGGTA